AAAAAAAAAAACGGCTGGAAAAAAAAAGCTAATCTCGAAAATAAAAAATGATATGATTTTTTATCGTAGTCAAGAAAAAACCTAAACTTTGCTAATTTTCAAAATATTTGATATTATTGCTGTCAGCAGTGAAAACAAATATTAAAAAACCTCAACCAAAGCGTCCTTAAAATGCCTTACTGTAAAAAAATCGAAACTAGAAAAAAGCGAATCCCAGTTAGGTCAGGCAAACTGCCTCCTTCCTTAAGCCTTCAAATAAGATAGGTAAAAACTACAGTGGCAAAACTTCTCATAGGTACAATAAGCAAAGCGGTCATGAAACCCATGTTAACTTCTCATACACCAGTTAAACATCTGGAATATGTGTTTCTGTAGCAGCAAGGAGAAGCAACGGTGGAAAACTGACGCCAAACACGCGTTTACTCAACGAGAAGAAAACTATTTATGTCTGACATTTCCTCGCAGTTAACTGAATTTCGAAATCCACATGCAAAAAACACCTCTCAATGTAATTTATAAAACTAGCCAGAAGGAGCAAAAAAGTATTTAATCTGTAAATTTACATATATCCGCTGCATTCACGTTGTACCTTCACTTATACTACTTGTTTGACATCGTCCAAAAATCTAATATAACTCTATGACAAGCCTAAATATTTTACATACCACTGATTCAAAGACTTCAATTCTATCTAGCAGAGCACCGCTTTTCAACCACTAAAACCAGCGTCTAATCACAGCCACCAATATTCAGTAATCATTTTGAAAACCGAAAACCTATCTTCATTAGAATACTCTCCCATCTCTACGCCTCCTAAAAGACAATGTTTTTACCGCCTCTCTGAGACTACCTTTTCCATTTATTCAGGGAACTGAGAAGAGAAGTGGCGCAACATATCTAAAGCGTTCCTGTTTGTTATCACAAAAACTTGTAAAACAAGGTAAAGAGATGAATGCTATCTTGAAGAACGAAAGAAAAATAAAAATAAAAGATTATATATATATATATATA